TTTGCAGGAAAGTGGTATGCATTCGAATTTGGTGTACGGTTAACGCAATCGAAATTTTGTTTTCACATAGATGTTATTTTTTCCATGGTTTTAGGAAAAACTTTTTTCTTATATCACAAAAAAAAATAGGCATTTTTAAATCGTAAAAATTTATCGTAAGTCCATTTATTAGTATTTCTATAAATATATACACAGTGTCCCACTTAAAACCTACCATCCTCTTGTTTTGATGACAAAACTCATCGCCAACTGTGATGTCTGTTTTGGGTCGAAATTTCGGTTTTTAGTGGTCCCGAATAAAAATTCGTTGTAACTTTTGCTCTAAAAAATCCCTAGTAGGTAGTACTAAAAAAGAGATCACAGTTTAGTCTTTAAAACCAGTGACATATGCGTTTAAATCCTTTTCCAGAGATCTATCCAACAAAAAAAGTTTACAAAAATCGGTTAAAAAATACAAATTTTACGAAGGTGGTAAGGTCTTAAGCGGGACACACTGTATAGGTATATATTTTAAAATAAAGTGAAGAAGTTAAAAAATTTAGCAGAAGGCTTTTACATTGTGTTAAAATTTACAAATTACCATTATATAATAAAATTACAAATGATAAAAATTATTTTAGGACAGTATTTCTCAGCAAGTTTCCATAGCTGAACCTATTATGATATTTTCTCCATGGCTTCATCGTCGATTTTCTCAATGGAAAAAGTCTATATTTTTCTTTAAATTGTGCAGAGGGGTTTTTTTAGTTATGTTATTGCAAAACTCGCCTATGACTTGTCTTCACATTCGTAAAAAAACTCCTTCTGCACTTGTTTAGGAATATAAAATTAAGGCAGCAGATTTAAAATAAAATTACATACATATTCACTACTATTTTCGCTAGATGGTATGTATTCATCTTCGCTTCCATCTGTTTTGTAAGGATCAGATTCTTCCGATGAGGAAAAATCGTAAACATTTTTTAAACCTGCATCTGAAAAACATTAAAAAATATTTTGTTCTTTCTCTTTATCAAAGTAAGTTACTTTTTGTTTTAAAAATTAAACTTATGAGCACCAAACATTCGGCCACCGCTCGGCCCCAAAATTACCAAAACTTTTGGTATGATTCGTAACAGTTTAAATTACCTAAATGCAAAACATAACTGCCTACTGACGTTAGTATAAAAAATACTGTTGATGTTTTTTTTATTTTTTAGTTAGAAAGGGAATTAAAATATTATACAGGGTGTATCAGGGTCGATGGTTACATGTTTATGGAAAACGGAAAAAGATATCAAATTAAATTTTTTAAAGCAATTATAATAATATTATCATTAAAACTATTTTTCTAAATTATTTGGAACAAAATTCCACTTCCGGTTTTAACGGAAGCGATATCAACTTTGTTATTTTAAATGAATCATCACAATTTTTTTACATTTTTTATTTCTTAATATTATTCCTTATAAAATGACTAGGTATATCATGTTCTATACCTACCAAAACTTAATAGTTATTGAGTTATTAATTTTTTTCGTAAAATTCGGTCAGTTTCACCCTCAACAAAAAAATCTTATATTTTTTTTAATATTAGGTTTGATGATATTCGGTTGTATTTATTGTAATAATTCTTAAAAGATACTTGATAAAAAGCAATGTGAATGTAGATAACTTAAAACAGCAATAAGTTTTTAATTTTTAACGGAACGCCCTGTATATTTTTACATAATTAAATATGAAATTATAATACCTTTTCATTGATATAACCATTCCCTAAAGTTAATAATAACAAAGATATTTTACAATTCCTATTATTTATTATTTCAAATTTTTAAATATTAATTTTAAATTATTAAACAATACAAGTGAAATCTACGAATAAGTTTTAATAACTGTATGTTTTCATATGACAAGAAAATAATAAATTAATATATTTTTTTTCGGTCTAAAGTAAATATGTCGCGCGTTAATGAAGGTACCGGACGTTCAATTAAACCGTTTATACACATACTTATCGACATATTTACTTTAGACCGAAAAAAAAATATATTAATTTATTATTTTCTTGTCATATGAAAACATACAGTTATTAAAACTTATTCGTAGATTTCACTTGTATTGTTTAATAATTTAAAATTCTATAGAACATGCAGACACTTTTTGTATGTTGTACCTTTACCCAACTTACCCAACTTCTTTTGAGTAGTTATTTTTATCTTTATTTTAATAATAATAATGAGATAATTTTGTTGGGCCCCAAATAAAATAATTAAAATATTAATTTTTCTATGATCATTGGTACAAAAAAGGAAATATTGTACAACATAACTTGCTGCTTACAAGGATTTATTTTGGAACATTAAAAAACTATAAGTACATGTACAAAAAATAATTAAAAAATATTCTTGAAATTAATTTAATAAAAAATTAAAATAATGAATGTAAGTATATTTATGATTTAATTTTTTTTACATGTACTTACACGAAAAAAAGTAATAAAAATTCTCAAGCACTTATAAAGGACAGGCACTGTGGTGCATGAATCTAAATTTTACTACCTTTGGTAAACATATTTTGGTAGGTACTTATTAAATAAAAAAAGTCAAATTTTTCGCTCTCACATTAATGTGAATTTATAATTAATAAACAAAAATTTTGTTCGTACCGCCGCTCCCGCAGTACCGCGTTGTAGTGAGAGATTTTTAAATTCTTAAAAGACAAATACAAAAATATTAATGGTAAATAAATAAATAAAGTTTTTATTGCATATTCAGTACAATACAGAACATATAATACAAAACATACAAAAGGCCATCGACCGGGGTCCTTCAGCCTTATTAATGGTAATTATTCCTGACATCTTTAAAAAAAATTCTAACCTTAATTTCTTCCATTTGCGCGCCTAAAATCGAATTTTCAATGGAGTTGCATTATAAAACTTATTTTACGCACTCCATTTTATCTCAATAAAGCTAATATTATTATAATTTTCGAATTATGATGCAGAATAATATAAAATAGAGTATTTCACCATATTTGTTTTAATAATTTGTTTGTTTGTTTAATAAATTGCCAAATTATATAAAGGAATCTAAAGACATACATATTTTTAAAAATTAATTAAAGCAGTACTTATTATCTCTGTGTTTATATGACGTATCTGAATTTTTAAACCAGTAATCTGAATTACATATATGTTTTTTTTTTAAGTTGTACCCTGTATTTTGTATTTTATATGTATTTTATTTTATTTTATTCTAGTTTAGCCCTAAGTTAGTTTTAAGTCTTTTATTGTGCTATTTACCGACCATTCCTATACAAATACTGTTTTGTCAATTTGGGAAAATAAAGATTATTATTATTATAGGTAATTAACATATTTCAGATATGAATATTACTAAATAAAATTATATTAAATTGTATATCTTCAATATGGCACCCGTAAGTATGGCAACAGTGGAGGGTGCCTGTTTGAATATAATTATAACCAGTTTATACGTGAAGGGTGCTACTTGTTCATGATTTTTGGTGGTGCCACAATGTCAAGTTTTAAAATTGGTTTTTTATACGAGGGGGTCACATTTACGTTGATTAAGTGGGTGCCACTTCATACAAGATGCATGTATATATATATATATATATATATATATATATATATACATATATATATATATATATATATATATATATATATATATATATATATATATATATATATATATATATATATATATATATATATATATATATATATATATATATATATATATATATATATATATAGGTATATAGGTATATAGTGGTTTTTATATTTAGTATTAGATATGTTAAGTATTGAATGTAATGTATATTATTAAATGTTTTTATATTAATAAAAAACGATACATAGTGGTTATATTTATGAATCCTCGAAATTTATTTGTTACATTTAATCATATCAAATAAATTACAGGTCATGCGATGCTAACTTATAATAGATTTCTACTTTACCAACAATACATATGTTATCGCAGCAGGGCGCTAGGTGCATCATTTTTAGGAAATCATAACCAAAAAGACCTTAATAGGGGGGCTCCATGGTGGTTACACCTTGATGGGGGATCACGGAACACCGTCTAGAGATATCTGGGAATCCAAAATGGCGGCCCCCGTGTAGGCATCAAGCAACTAGCGTCAAAAAGACCTTAATAGGGGGGCTCCATGGGTGTTACACATTGATGGGGTCCACGGAGCACCGTCTGGAGATATCTGGGAATCCAAAATGGCGGCCCCTGTGTAGGCACCAAGCAAGTAGCGCTACCATGCGGCAGCCATGGGAACTGAAACCACCTTTGCCTGTCTACTAACGAAAGATGGTGGATGTAAATTTTGATAAATGTGTACCTATGTTTACAAAAAAACAGGAATAACAAAGTTATAACGATTTTGGTTTTTGACAGGTTTGTAGTTTTACTTTTTTAATTTTACCGATTTAACCGACCTTGTAAAGTTAAGTAAAAAAAAATCAAAAAAAATTGTTCTATATGATTTTGATAAAGAAAACAAATTCCTTCATATTTATATTTTAAAATAAATTTATTCTGCGTTTGGTGCCGCATCGTGGACCTACCTACTTTTATTTAATTTTTTTTCGATTTATTACTTTTTTATTCTGAGGAAATATGGTATTATTTTTTTATATATTAAGCTTATTTTTTTTATTTTTAGATCTTTTTCAATTTGGCAGTGTGCAAATTGTTCCTGTCTACCCTACTTTTTAAATAAAACAAATTAAAGATTATTAATATTTAATTTTAAATTAAAACATTATTAAAACTCTTTAGTTATGTGTATACCTGAATAAAAAATAATTCCAAAAAGATATTTCGTATGGGGCATAATATCCCGTGCATAAATCTGTCTTAGTGCTTCTTATATTCATGTTGAAGAAATTTTTATCTTTTTTTTTTAAACAGATTTTATTTTCTTTCCGAACGAATTACTTTAATTATTAAAATAGGTTGGTAACAATGATAAAAATGTCTAACGATTTTGTAAACGAACAAAATAAGTGTAAAAGGTGTAAAACTAGTGCTCTTAGTGGACCTAAGTGTATAAAATGTGGTGTAGTGAGCCATAGTAGTTGCCTTAAACTATTAAAAAATATAAAATTCATTGATGAGAAAAATGTTCAATGTTGTGACGATGACCTTGATTCAACCTCTGATAGTGAAAGTAATGATACAGTCCTAGGAAACGACGCAAGCAGTTTGGAAAATTATTATTTGAAAGAATTATTAAAGCAGAAGGATGTGCATATTCTAAGCCTTGAAGACAAAATTCTTATTTTAAAAAAACAGATAAATCTTCTAAAACAACTTACCCCACCTGGTGAGAAAACTAATCAAAATAAAAACCCAGCACAAAGTAAGTCACTAGTGCCTCAAAACTCAAAAACTACTGACACTAAACCAAATTCTAAAACCAATCAGACAAAAGCAAAAAACTCAAACACAAACATACAAAATCCAATTATTACAAAATCCGAAATGACAGCTGCTATAAATATCGCGCTTAAACCTGACGTCATCGACAAAAAAGATGATATCAATAAAGAAAATAATACACCTACAAACAACCATAAAAACAATAAACAAACCAATGCGTTTATTAAGGGGACAAACAACTCTAACACTCTTAAAGTTGTTGAAAAGAACGCCTGGATTTACGTAACGAATCTTCATGAAGAGACCACTGAGAAACAAATAGAAGACTACTTAGCTACAATCTGCAAAACCCAATGTGAAAAACTTACTCAAAATTTTGAAAACAGTAAAAAAAGTTCCTTTAAAATATGTGCCCCTTATAAATTTAAAAACCAAATTCTTGATGGAAATATATGGCCTGAAGGTACCCTTATAAACAGGTATTTCTTTCCAAAATCAAACAGCACAAGAAATTTTTTAGGCAAAATATCTCCAAACTAAATTGGAATAAAATAAATAGTATACAAATCTTTCACATAAATATTCAATCCTTAAAAAATAAATCCATTCAATTGGATGCATTTTTAGAGAACAAATCCTATGATTTTATTTCTATAAACGAACACTGGTTAAATAACAGTGATTTTAATTTTCTTGTTCCTTATGGTTATGTTTCCATTTCCAAATTTTGTAGAACTAATCTTATTCATGGAGGAGTTGCGCTGTATGCAAAAAAAAATCTAAAAATAAATACCTTAAATAAAATAAATAACTTAAGCGAAGAACTGCACTTCGAAATTGCCTCTTTAATGGTCGACAAAAAATTCATTCTAATATCTATCTATAGATCACCTAATGGGTGCTTTAACATATTTATTGATAAACTACTTAAAATGTTGGACATATTATCATGCAAAGATATTCCTCTATTTATTTGCGGTGATTTTAATGTCAATTTTAATATTCTTAATAACAAACAAACTACAGTATTATTAAACACCTTTCTCTCATATAATCTCAAACCTACAAATAAACAAAACACCCGCCTTAATAGCAATTTAGATAACATATTTACAAATATAGACAATTGGAAGTCAAATATAGTAGATACATGCCTATCTGACCATATGGGTTTGTGTTTGATAGCAAATATTAAAATGAAAATTAATTCTCAATTTAATCAACATTTTTTTAGAATGTTTTTATCTGAAGTAAACTGGAATTTTGTTGGGAATAGTCAAATTGATATTAACACGAGATTTCACGATTTTGTTCATTTTATTTCAAAATCAGCACTAGATTTTTTTCCTGAGGTAGAAAAAACAATTCCATCTGATTCAAAGTTACCCTGGTTTAATCGAGATATGTCACACCTTCGTAGTACACTTAGGTTTATGATCGACGCTTACAGCAACAATCCAACTGATAGATTAAAAACTGATATCAAAATATTTAAGCAAAGATACAAACAGGAACTTGTTCAAACCAAAATAAGTTACTTTGATAATATTATTTCAACTTCCATAAACAAATCAAAAACTATGTGGAGCTTAATTAATCAAAAAAATAATACTGATGTAGCTTCGGATAAAATTAGCTCGGATGAATTTAACAATTTTTTTATAAACTCTTCGGAAGAAATAGTCAATAAAATACCAACCAGTAACATACATTTTACTCAGTTTTTAAATCTAAATATCTCTGATGTAAATAGTTTTACCTTTAAACAAGTGTCTTTTAATGAAGTAAGCTCTATAATTAATGAATTAAAAAATAAAAAAAGTATGGATGCATTTAATCTAAACTCTAAAATTGTTAACGGCATAAAGTATGAAATTCTTATCCCGTTGACTAATTTAATTAATGCATGTATAAACAAAAATATATTTCCAAACTGCCTCAAGTGTTCTAGAGTGGTACCCGTATATAAAAAAAATGATAAAAATGATAAAACCAACTACAGACCTATTTCTATTGTTCCTGTGTTTGGTAAAATTTTTGAATTAGTCTTCAAACGACAACTTCTGGAGTACTTTGAGGAAAATAACCTCTTTAATAGTTATCAGTTTTGTTTCAGAAAAAACAAATCTACGACACAGGCAATACAGACTCTCATTAGTGAAATAAGTGGTTGCTTTGAGAGGGGTGAATATCTAAGTTCTCTGTTCTTGGACCTGAGTAAGGCATTTGACTGCGTAACCCATGATATCCTCGTCAATAAACTAAAATATTATAATTTCAGCACTGAAAGCATATTATTGATAAAATCCTACTTAAGTAATAGATACCAATATGTTAGTCACAACAACAATATGTCTGAGACCAAAAAAATAAAATATGGAGTACCACAAGGTTCGATACTTGGACCTGTATTATTCTTGATTTACATTAATGACTTACCTAAAGCTTCAGCTAGTACCAATTTTGTCTTGTTTGCTGATGACACGACATTAAGTAGAAGAGGTAAAAATTTTGAGGTTCTTGAAGAGGATATCATGGGTGCGCGGCTGGATGTTGAATCGTGGTTTAGGGCAAATAAGCTTTGTCTTAACTCGGATAAAACTGTCAAAATTACATTTACCCTAAAAAATCACTGCAAGATTGAACAAAATAGTGTTAAATTCTTGGGGATTCACCTTGATTCAAGGCTTTCCTTTGCAACACATATTGAGTCGGTCTGTAAAACCTTGTCCAAAAAAATGTTTCTCTTTAGAAAACTAAGGGAATCTGTTTCTCAGGGTACTCTAGTGAATGCATACTTTGGACTAGTTCACTCCATTTTGTCCTACGGCATTCTAATCTGGGGTCACTCTCCTAGAGCTGCTGAGGTATTCTCGATTTAAAGAAGGGTAATAAGAATTATTTGTAATCTAAATTATAGAACTGATTGTCGTCAATCGTTTAAAGATTTAAACGTTTTAACTGTCCCTTGTCAATATTTATTAAATGCCTTGGTATATGTAAAATCAAATATCAATATTTATACTACACAAAACAACATACACCATTATCAAACAAGAAATAGGAATAATATCCATATTGAATTTCATAGGATAAATAGATCTAGGGATGCTTCAAATTACTTTGCTCCTAATTTCTATAATAGACTTCCGAATGAAATAAAAAAGTTACCCCTAAAACAATTTAAAGCACGTCTTAAGAAACTTTTACTGACTAAAGTGTTTTATTGTTTAAACGAATTTTTAACATGTGACCTGTCTTTGTAAATTTTAATATTAAAATTATTACTTGTTTTTTTCCCTGCATAATGTTATTATTTTAGATATATGATCAAATATTTGATGTATATGTCCTACCTTAAATTTTAAATTTTTGTATTGTATAATTTCTTTTAACACATAAAATTTTTTTAATTTGTATCTTTTCCTTGACTTGTGTAAATGTAACTGTACATATTAACATGAATAAAGATTATTATTATTATTATTATTATTATTATTAATATTATTATTATTATTATTATTATTATTATTATTATTATTATTATTATAAACTTTAAGTTTATCATTTAAAAAAATTTACTTTTTACCTTTTTTATTAACTTAATTATTTTAAATTGACGCATAACCTAATATTTACAATTTTTAATATTCTTAAAATTACACAGTTTATCAAAATTTAAACTCAAGAATCCGGTCTAAATACCAACAAGTACAATTTGTTTTACCTGTAGAACGCAAAGTTTGGTTTAATACTTTAAAAGTTTTACGGCCAAACTCAGATTTAAATTAATTAAAGTTGCTAATAATTTAATGACTTTTAAATTTTATCGTCACATGCAAATTCTAGCGAAGTAACAGGACAACTAAATGTTTTGGGATATTGTAAAACTTTTTTAATAAGTTTACCCAACACATATTTGACTTATACTTGAATTATAATTAAAATGTTTAATATTATATGTCAAAAGGCTTAGAATTGAGTCTTTTTGTACTGAGCTTATAGTTTAAATGCTGACGCGGAGCAAAGGCCTACAATTAAGCGAAGCATGGCATACCTAAAACATTTTAAATTAAAGTCATAATTTTATTGGTTAAACAATACATACAACGCACAATAATTATTATAATGATTTTTATAAGCAGAACGTGAGGTAAGATTATATCTGACAATAGCAGAATTTGTTGATTGATACATTATAGACCAGAAAAGCACATGTATTATCGCCATGCATATATTTTAGTAGATTTTGTGCGATGCAATTAATAAGCTTTTACCGCCGCGTACACATATTATGTACTTTTTTTATCAAGCATTAAATTAAATAATTTTAACCCGAATGGCATAGAACATTTTATCTTAATAATAAATGATACATAAAACGTACATATAATGATAATAACAATTATTAAAAGTATAAATTGAGGTAAGATGGCTTTAGAGCTGTAAGCAATTATCAAATTTTTAGCACACTAGGATGTAAAAAACTGATTGGTCTAAATTATTTTTACAGCCTAGGAAAAAAACAAAACTTTTGTGGTGAACGTTGACAATAGAGTCATTCCATGAAATTTCACCTAATGACAAAAGCTCTACATCTCAGATTAAACTGAAAGTTTTAGGATTTAAAGATCAATGCTTGGGATGAACTAAAATTACAATAATATTTTTTTATTTTAACACCCTGAGAAATTAGGCGAAGCCATGTTGACCGGTTTGCATAAAATATTACCAAATCGGTTTAAAAGAAATCCTTTTGTAACTTTTTATTTATTAATATTTATTATCGCTTAATATTTTGTTTTAACCATAAAACAATGTACTTTTAATATATATACCTAAAATTATACAAATATTTTTTCTTACTACTTCGACTGAAAATACGTTGTTTCTTCCCCGATTTCACGGCAGAAAGTTTACGTTTCTTGCATTGGTCAAGCTATACGCGCACACTCTTTAATAGCGGGAGTAAAAATATTTTAGTCGTGTGCTCAACATATGCAACTCTGATTACGACACTAATATAACCTCAAAATTTGGGCAGGCATCAATGTTTCGATATACACATTTAATTTTTTCCCGTATTTTCGGCCGGGTTGTATTTTCGGCCGAGGTAGTAAGAAAAATAGTATACACTACACGGGCAAAAAGTGTGAGAGCCCTGAACTGCAGGAATCTCACACTTTCTGCCCTTGTAGTGTAATATACTATTACAAGTGTAGTTTTTTTAGTGCTAAATTCACGCTTATTTTAACTGAAAAGTGATTTTTCTACCATTGATATTATGTAGTAGGTTATAGAAATTTGATTTGGTGTATATTTTTAATTAAAGTACTTATAAATATCGATTAAAATATAAAATGCAAAATTATAAAAAAGTACCCAAATTTCAGGAAATAACATTTTTATTATAAAAAATTTCCATTTTTGGCAAAAAAAATCCATTTTTTCGTCCAGAGGGACTGAACGAAAATTGTTC